TTATGAGCAGAGTTCTAAGAGCCGCATGAATAATACTTCTAACATATATCACTGATGTATATGGGTCTTTGCAGTAGAAAGGGTTCAAACTACACTAAAATCAAAAATGGATTTTTGGATTCGGAACGATTATAAATGGAAATCAATTCACAGAATAAAAAATTAAAATAAATTTAAGTGACTCGCATATATTCAGAGTTTGGGCCATTCTACTGCGCCCATGTTGATTGAGTCCGTTTACGGATAATTCAGATATGGATAAATGGATGACGGATTTATCCGGATTGGAACTCTAAATTGGGGATAGTAAAGTCCTTAGGTCCAGGACTTTAGAACTGGTTTATCTATAGGTTCAAGTCCTTTCACATGATTAAAATTTTCGTTGCTCTGATAATATAGTAGACACCTTAACGTTGGCATTAATAGATTATTTGGATTGGTTAGGACTAAGTTCAGTCTTGGACCACCTAGGTCTTTGAACTTTTTGCGTGGGGGAAGGTCTGCGTGGTTGGACCTAAAGTCTTAGGACCAAATCCTATCTCACTAAGCCCCATTTCAGATCTGATCTATTCTAAACTTTTTAAGAATTAGTTAGGAATGTTTTCTGTTCAACAACCAAACTTCTGATTGGCTGACTTGACTTTCGGAGCTAATTCGGCCCGGGCAGACCTTTTAACACTCCTATTGGCAAGGATACGTATCTACACGTAAACAATTTTGGTGTTTATATTAGGTCCTTCGGACAAATTATTTAGCAGTGTAAAATATAAATAAATTTAGCCTAAATTCTCATTTATTCTAGGATTTTTTTTTTTTTTTTTTTTTTTGTTTTTAAAAAAGGTGAAAAAAATACAACGAATAAATATAAAGAAAACATAAACACAAAAAAATTTAACCTTAGAAACAAAACAAAAAAAAAAAATTTAATAATATGCAAATGATATGGTTGAATTATCACAAGACTTCCCAGAATTATCCACACTCGTAATAGAATCACAAATATTTATTCTTCGATTACTATTTATTCAAATTCTGAAATCATTTGATTATTTGTAAACATGTTTACATTATTCCCATTGTCGTGTAACAGTAATGGTTGTAATGACATAGGGGATGTAAGTGTTTGTTGAGAAGGTAATGTGACACTCTGTTGTACTTGTTGCGAATGAAGGTAAGAAGACCATTCCTCGAAATTTGCACTTTGTGGAAGGGTCCAAAATCCAGAATTCAAGGAACAAATCGTATTATTTCCAACTCCATTATTTGGTGAAATTACATCTTGTGCTGCATAAGGACCAGATGTGTTTACATTAGACTGTGTTTGTGATTGTGAAAATGTTGCCATATTTCTTAATCCAAATGAGTTACTAAACATTTGTGCCGGTTCTTGAAAGTTATGACGTAGATATCGCGGTTGTTGAGCTTGATTAAAATTAAATTGTGGTGAAGAAACTATGACTGGATTATTATGATTTATTACTGAAGAGTGCCGTTGGTATGGAGGTAAAGCACTTGGGGATGATACATTATTAAAATTTTGTGATTTTGTAGAACTCTCATCGTCATCACTATCGCTATTATTATTACTATTATTATCATTATCATCATCGTTATTATTATTATGCGATTCAACATATTGACTATATTGCGCACGATATCGTGCTTGTCGTCCATATCGGTCCATTGTATCAAATGGGTTTGGTTGATTAGATGTAAAAGTATTTCGTTTTTTCAAACTATGGCTAATTTCTGTGCTATCACTTGACGATCCTAGGTTCGTGTCCAATTGTAAACCTTTCAATTCTACCAATCCTTTTATCAGATTAAGATATTTATGTGGCAATACCCAATTGTTTTTTAAGGATTCTAACGCTCGTATACATTTCGCAAGGTTAATCTTTGCTGGTTGTGAGATAGTGGTATCAGATTGGGTGGCATTGCAAGTATGAATAACGGAAGTTATAAATGTGCTGTAAATTACAATAGGTAAAGTATTCTTCAACGTATTCCTTCTATGCATCGAATGAATAATATCAGAAATGATTCCTGCTGATGATGTGCATATTTTATGTGATGAATTATTTCCTACTGCATATGGGCGATGAAGAAGCATTAATGATTCATAATACAACACATGAAGACTGAGCGTTGATACATCCAAATTATCCAAATGTTGACCCGGGTTATATTGCAGGTGTGGTGGTAATGTTTCAAACCAGGTTCTAAGCGACGATTCAAGAATCGGAATTGCTGAATCGCTAACTGATGCTTGATTACATTTTATTGCATATATGTTTTGAAGAATACGTCCCATTATTTCGCAAAGTCTAATCAAACAATTAAACCGTGACATAATGTGGGCCGAATTTGACGATTCTCCGCGCTTTTTTGATTCCTTATTAACTTGTATCGAAGTTTTATTTTTTGTGGTGTCAGACGATGATATTAAGTTTGTTGCATGTTCCATTTTGAATGGAAATGGTTCGCATTCATCATCATTTTCTGATGGGTGTGCAGCGTCTACGTCCTTTTCGTCGATAGCCAATGGGCGTCCCAAATGTACGCTTGGTATCCTATAAGCATAAAATACATTAATCTTGATAGATGAATGTTCAATTTACGAATTGTTCAATAGATACAGGTTTCTCCAAAAGGTTTAACAACTTGATTTTAGATTATCTTGTTAACTTTTTGGTGATAATCTGTATGAACGTATGTTCACCTGTCAAGAACGTAACAAGCCCAGAAGATGCGTTTTTGTTCTTCCTTTTCTCCATGAGATGATGTGATTGGATGCCACTTTTCGTTATTACGATGCATACCTAAACTTTGTGCCATTCTTGCTGCTATACCGGTATAGATCCAAGATCTCGTAACTTTACCGGTTCCGTACTCCCTAATAGATAATAAGAGCAATGCTTGAATGTTTGTTGTGTGGGCTCTATCATAATCATTGTCGAGCAAAGCCTTCGCGCGATCAAAATAAATATCTCCTGCTGTTAGTGGGTTTTCCCGGTCTTTTCTTACTTCAAGCCTATCGGAAAAATTTGAAGCCAAACAATACATAGAATTCAACAAAAGACAAGGAGGATGCTCGTGATCCTTTAGCAACTCAAAAAATCGTGGCTTATATATAATAGGAAACAATGGATGGACATGATTGAAATAAAGTTCTAATAAATGATCGGATAATTCTTGAGGAGGCAATTCCATAAGTTCTGATCGCAACACCAATTTTTGATCTGATTGTGATGCTAAAGTTTGAACATTTGTGTTGTTAGGAAATAACAAGAATCCATCCTTGTATAGATTACTTTGTTTTAAAGGTTGAAGGCCACTGCTTCGTCCATAATAACTAACTTGATTTTTATCATCTATGCCGAGAATCCCCATGACGTCATTAACATAACTAATATCATAATCGTTTGTGTTAGCGTTAGACGGAAAATCCGCTAAAGATCCAGTTGATCTAGTTTCTAATGCATCTCCAGATGACGCTAGTCTATTTCTCCATGTTGCATAATTTACTTTTCTGGCTTTATGAAGAGGATGCAAATCATCCTTCATTAATTCTGCCAAAATTGCCTCCGCACGTGGATCATTACTATGAGCCAATTCGCCCATGAGTGATTCCATTTTATACAACCGAGATTCAATGGCTTCTATGTAACCTTTAGGAGGCCCCCTGTACATAAAATAATCGGGACGGTTAACTCGATTCGAAAATTCTTTTTTTTTAAAAAAAAAAAAAAAAAAAACCTTTTTTTGGTAGTGTCGTTATAGGTACAATTCAAGTTAAAAGCCAAACAGTTACTACATACTGGAGGGGCGCCGCCACACTATGATGATCAAATGAGAACGAAGAAAGAGAACAATGCAAACCGGTCAGAAACAACTGCTTTTTTT